TAAGAGTTCGCTCCTGGAATGCACCCGAAACGTGGGTCCAACTTGTTGAAATTCCGTCGTCGTTCGCTTTGCGACGTTGCAAATTTAACGAAACATCTCTCGGTAGACGCTTGACCTTTATATCTACGGATTAAGGGGCAATTTTGATTATCCTTTGTAGGATTAGGTGTGCAGAAGTTTGGTTCAGATAGTAGGAGGTAGGAAATTTCGCAAGGCAGGCGCTTGCTTGAGCGCCCACTAATTTTGGTCCAATCGAGGCTACGTATAAAACATGTGAGACACATATTTCGGTTTATCTGGTGCCGTGTGTAAAGACGCCTGTTTTTTCGTGTAGAGCACAGAATTTACAATGCGGTTACACCGTTCGGGCAAAGTTTTAAATTGTGGTGTTTAAGTACTAGCCAACTGTACAGTTTGGTTGGAAATATTTTAAAGTTACTGTTACAGTAGTATTTTTAAAGCTAAAAGGCTTTGTAAAAATTTACGTCATGGAAAATTTTCTATTTTATTCATCACCAGCGGCTTCGCCCGCGTGGTCCCTAGGGAAAGTTAAGTAGGATAAAAAGTATATCATCTAAGTCAGCTAATACCCTATCTGTATACCAAATTTCATCAAAATCCGTTCAGTAGTTTCGGCGTGATTTAACTTTTTTTAATTAGGGATGACTGAGAGTGTTATAAACGTAAGAGTAGACAATAGACAAATACAATCAGAAAGCTTCGAACTGCTAAGTTATCGGCAGTTACACGTGTTATGTGTGATGTGAGTCAACCATAAAAGATAGACATATGCTGTCGTGGGATATTTTTGATATAATTTTAAGGAGATCATTTCCGTCATACATGATTTCTGGGTAGCTTTAACCATTAAGGTTGCACACGCGACGGAAGCTTAAAAAATGGAGTAACTTCTCCCTTTTTCCCAACATTTCCCTTCACTGCTCTGCTCCTATTGATTGTAGCGTGATGAAAAGTATACTATAGCTAGCTCAGGAGTATGAAAAATAATTGTACCAAGTTTCGTTAAAATCCGTCAAGTAGTTTTTGTTTCTATAACGATTATACAGACAGACAGACAGACAAAAATTTTACTGATTGCATTTTTGGCATCAGTATCTATCCCTAATCACCCCCTGATAGTTATTTTGGAAATATATTTCATGTACAGAATTGACCTCTCTACATATTTATTATAAGTATAGATGAAAATTAAATGCCTGGAAAATGGTGAATAATTGCGCCCGTGACAGTAAACGAGAACTTTACAATTATTTTTGCCATCAATTGATCTTGAGTTAATTTTATAGTTTAATCAGAGAAAGATGGGAAATTAACAAAAAACTAGAGAACAAAACAATAGAAAATATAAGATTTGGATATACTCAAAGCAAATCACAATAAAGACAACGAAAGAAGTTACGGAATATATTAAAATTGAGAACAGAGTAAGAAAAACTAAGAATGAATCAATGAAAAAACAATGAGAGGAGTATACCATGCGGACGAAGACGCAAGAAAAAGTTAGTAAAGTGTACTATCTATACTTAGTTTTAATATGAAGTCATGGCAAACAAAAATATGGAAGTTTTGGTAATTGTTGTCAATTCAACAAATTTTAAATTGAGATTATTTGATGGTAAAATAAATAATATTTATAAATCGCGGTGTTGAAAACATTTTAAAAAAATTATAATCTAAAATTGTTAAGTATAACTCGTATGAATGAACATGAGACTCAGGGTCCATTCTATTTGTTCTCCGACAAAAATTCGGAAAGTTTCGAATTGATTTTATAATTTTGATCCGTAGACATCATCCATGCAACAAAAGCAGTAATGCAAAAATCAGTCTTTTGCAACCGCATCAGCATTTCAAAATAGTCAAAATTTTATTTGCAGCAATATAGAATAGGCCTTCGTGTTAATTCATACGAGTAGTATACACATTTGATAATCGGGTCACAGTATTGTCTACAAGAGGTATTGTCAATTATTATGAACAAACTCAATACCCATTTTTTTGTAACAAAATTTGTTATAGCCTTCTGTTCTCAAGACATTATTAAAAGAAATCCTTTCTAAAGTTAAATCACACGTAATCTTCATTATGTTGCTATATAACCTAAACTAAAACCAATTTATTTTTTACTCTGTTTTATTTTAATGTGATTGTTGTCATTAATTTTCGGTACAATGAATCGTCTCCTGTACATCTTTGCATGCACAGGAGACGATTCATTGTACCGAAAATTAATAACATAATGCCGGAAGTTTTTTTTTTTTATTTTTTATTTATTTACGTATTAAAAAAAACATTAAAGAATTAAATATTTGATTGTCATCTCTTAATTAATATATTTGTCTAGTTTATGGTGTCAACTATGTTATCTACCACGCAGTGGCGTAACTATACCATTTGAGGCCCGTGGCAAATTCATGGGATATTAATTAATTTTGCTTATTATGTAATAATAAATGTCAGAAGTAAAGAGTCTCCTCTGACCGGGCATTGGCGTAACTACATAATTGCCACTCTGTAGTTACGCCACTGTAACCACGTTACAATATCTACCTCTTAGATAACAGAAATAAATATTTAATTGTGGTAGATATGTTTATACACTCTAAAAATATTTAGACATGATTAACATTCAATTTAGCGATTCCGTAAAAATCCGAATTTACTCAGGTGAACGAACTCACTTCGAAAGCGAATCCGCTAATTCTTGAATTGGTATTGTCTAAACGTATCGTAGCACAAGTGAAGTGAGGATCGAAATGACCTAGGGATAGAATATCTGAGGCTCTATAAATCAATCTTGATTTGTATTCTTAACAAAAAACGTCATCAAAAGAGTATTCTACACAAATTAAATAGTATAATCTACATTATTCATTTTAAAACTTGAATAACATAAAATAAAAAAATAGTCGAGATGATTTGTGGCTAAATAGCCATAACGCCAATGCCATTTATAGATGAAATTAAGAAAATTGTGGCTGGATTGAAATAGGTGCGTTTTGTTGTTGTTGTTTCGTCGATGTTGTAGTTTTGTTTTGGCGGAATGTCAAATTAGGAGTGTGATTTAATTTTATCCCCAAAAAATGTTTATGTTTCTAGATAAGTTTTCAGTTTTCTTGATTTATTGGAAGGAATAAACGTTAGTTGGAGTCTATTACCAACAGTGATGAGTCACTATGACTTTTTAACGTAAAAAGTTAATAACTTAACGTGCCGTCAGAATCACGGAGGACATTGGGGTAGTAGTAAATTTTTGGCCACCCATCCTATATCGCCTTTATGAAAATTGCTTAACATCCGTAGCGCCGACGAAAATAGTAAGTATACAGAATCTTTCCTGCTTTATTTCTAATATGCGATTTTAAAGGCATAAGCTTCTTCTAAACTATTTTGAAAAAGAAAGTAACGAGACATTATACAGTTTTTGAATTTATGGTAAAAATATTTATATTTTTACCATAAATTCGATTACTACTATGCAACCGTAATGACTATTCAGTTTCCATTGAGAATACCAATGTCTATACATGTAATGTCAAAATCTTACCTATCTTAGTTCAATTCACTCAGCGTCCTACATTGACGCGAGTTATACAGCGCGTTAAGATTTTAAAATGGAATTCGGTATAGCGCCCCTAACGGTAACTACCAAAAACTACAAATCTCCATTCAAATTCTTAACGCACTCACTAGTGAATGCGTTAACATAAATCTTTCACTTTCAATGAAATTTGAATCTCACCGTAGATTCAGATTTCCGATGTTCGAAATGCGTTTACAGAATTGCATGGCTGCTGTCGACAGACTGCTATATAGTTTGGCAGATATATAATGAATTAACAGAACTATGTAATATGGATAAAAACAAGTTTAAAAAAAATACATGTAAGAGTAACCATGCTTAAATTAATGAACAGAAATGTAGTGACGTCATCTTACACTCGGTTTCTGAATTGAAAATCGGAATTTGAGCACGACTCAAACCGTGCTTAAACCATTTTAGACGTCATTTAAGCATGTTTTCATTACTGATATTTAACTTTTTAATGATCAGTTGATAGTGATTAGATAAAACTAAGACTTTTTGCCAAATTAAACGTAAAAAGTTATTGAGAATAATTAGTTGATCAATTTCAACTGATCAACTAATTATTCTGTCTTTTCTCAATTCAGAAACCGGCCTATAGTCATCTACAGAAATATATATATATATATTAAATAATATTTGTCGGCGTGTAGTCAGAAGGGCCTATTTCGAAGCCCAAATAGATGGTATATCGGAGGACTATCTTTAAAATAACACTGCAGGCGTGGTATACCAACGTGGATTTGTTCCATTATATTACTTTTCATACGAAAATATAACGAGGTGAGCGTGATGTCGTCGGATGTCTTTACTCATCGGCAATCGGAAACAGAATAAGTGCCAAAATGGCGGCAATTTGCTTTTTTGTTAACGAACTGTCAAAGTCAGTGTCACCATTCTAATAAAATTAGAAGTATCGATGATCATGCTCTCTCTACAATCGAGAAATTAAGTAATCGAGTAACTAGCAATTTAAAAAAGTGACTAAATCAAACGATCTTCGTAAAGATGATGCGACATATTCAATCTTAAAAACAAACAGAATGACTGTGCAGTCTCGGCGTGCTATTATCTCATGACTACGCCTTATCATCATTATTCCGTACGTTGTGTACACCTTGATATTTGTAGAACTCAGTGGCCGTGTGACTTACGCAAGTTTCAAATTCCATATCGATTCCCGGATGATTCAATGTAGAAAATTCATTTTCCTGTATTACCTTGAGTCAGAATGCTTAATACTTTCGTTTCAGATTTCTACAAAGCAAGGACTTGTGCTACTAGTTCGTAATCGGATGTTCTATAACGTTACTTCAAGCTTTGATTGATCTGCCAAAATGAGGCTTTGATAGAGCAATTAGGGCTGAAGATATAGAGTCGCGAAGCAATGTTTTTAATTTATAATTATTGTAATGGATCTATATTTATTTAACTTTATTGTAATAAGGTTCTTTATTTTGTAAATATACTGATGGACAAAAAAAATTAACTAATATTTTTAATTATGTTTTTCATTCTTCATTTTTTTATATATCTTGTGTATAACTTAATTAATAGTAAATACATTAATCTAATATTAACACACAATCAATAAAAAAAAATGCAAGTTTTTATTTTTTTAATAAACCCAGTTCTGTTTGACATAACTGTGTTTACACCCTGTTTAATAGACAACCTTACTGAAAATGAAAATAAGCAATATTCCTCTGTCTCCGAGCTAAAACCAAACAGTTCTATAGCTCAACTCATGTACTGTGTAATAATAAAGTTAGTTGTCCTTTACAACTAACTTTATTGAACACCATTATATATTTTACCTACTAGCTAGACCGAGGTTAAACTCCCGAAAAAATGAAACAGTACATTGAAAACATTAATTTATTTATTGATTTCATAATACAATAATTATATTTACAAAATTATATAATCACGACTGTTAACATAATTTAATTTGCAGTCAGGAAAATTGACAAAATTATAAAGGACAAATAATGTGTTTAAGATCATAGAAATGCATTTGAAAACAAAATTAACAATAATTTATTTATGAAATCTAATATACCATACAATAAATTTCTCTAAGATAGTCAAGATTTCCAGTAAGAAATCATACCCTTTTTGGTATGACCCGAAATTTCCCAATTACTAAATTACATAAATCTATAGCAACAATAGAATAAAAAAAACTGAATCTTTTAACGTTTAAGTATTATTGACAAAAGTATCATATCAATTTAGCTACTTATATAATATGTTAATAACCTATCACATTTATAAATTAGGATTTCGATAAATTGAGCCACTTTCTAAATACACAAATTAATTAATTAATATTATTATATTTGTTATTTTTAAATTGATTTATAAATATTATTTGTTACGGTTTATATTATATGCAAACATAAACCGTAACGGCCTAAGGCAAGAAAAGAGATTATTAAATTAGCACAAACTTCGTCTTCAAATATTCATAACATTTTAATTCCAATTTTTTATTTGTGATCTATACCATCGGATCATAATTCTACCTTGTATTGAGAAAAACCGGCAAGAAACTCAGCAAAGACCGCTGGGATATTGTTCTCCGTATTTCATAGAGACGACACATTGAAAAATTACTAAGATTGTGATTACAATAGTTAATTAAGATAAGAAAAACAATTACTGTATCAATGTATAGTGTAGTAGATCTTAAGTACGGTGTTCTGTGATTGGTGAACAAACTAGCAACATTCACAATAAGTGCGTGGTCGTTGTGTATATTACAGTAAACTTATAATACTGGTCGTAAAACATTCTATTTTACGATCGCCTACTATTAACTGCAGCTCGAATAATTTTAAACCATAGTTTAGTATCTTAACGGTTCTTTACAACGAGGATAATAGGGTTGTCAAAAATAGACCTCTGTACATAATAAAACCTCGGTAAAAAAGATCGTAAATACAAAAATTACAACACAAATTTTCATTTTAAAATTTGACCCAAAAAATATCGAGTTACTACAAAGTTATCATTTGATTTTGAAATAATATAACATCATTGTAGAGGAGACATTTTCTTTGTAATTTTTTTTAACTTTCAACTTTATTACTTACTTAATATTATATCTGTTAAAATTATACATTTTTACATAAAGATAGATTGTAAATCTATCTACCAATTGTAACATAGCACTATTAGATATTCAAATATTATATTTGACTTTGTAATCTTAATTAATTTGTCAGCATGACTTTAGCTAAATGTCATTCCTTGTACTATCTCGAGTAATCACTTGATAATTCATTCCCATTAATATCGTGTCCTATTCATTAAAATATTTATCGTTATCATGACTTTATTAAGCGGTATTTATTGCGTGAACTATAAATAAAATAGGTAGTACGTTACCAAACAATAAATTTTAATTTACTGCTTTTGTGCACGGTGTATACGTAACCAGAGTAAATAAAGGAACAAACAATTTGCGCAAATAACTAGATATAGGCAAAATTTAACCTTAGGGTAGACGTAATTCTAATAAAAAATCCGTTAAACGTCCCACGGAAGTATGGAGTTAATACGCGTCCGATTATCCGTAGTGTGCAAGATTGTATATAATGTGATATGTTTCTTAGTTCTGACGTCCTGTGACCAAACAGTCGCAGGACAACTTCCGGCAGATATGCACCGGCTCTTAAGCGGTACCTAATATAAAACAAAGTTGCTTCCCACTCAGCCTGTACGCTGAGTCTGTACGCTGAGATCTTTTATACTACACAACGGATTTTAAGACAGATAGAGTGATGCAAGGGAAGGAATGTTTATATGTAAAATACAGAACGAAGCCGCTGGTGAAAAAATTAGTTAAATAATATTTAATTAATTATTAAATAGAAAATATTATGAAACGAAAAGAATAATAAAATAAAAAGAATAAAACCTTTAAGGAAGCAAAAGACGTGCATAGAAAATGTGTCTTATGGCATTCAGTCTTCTCTGTCTACCCCGTAAGGGAAGCGGCATACATATATATATATATATATATATATATATATATATATATATATATATATATATATATATATATATATATATATATATTCAGTCATATATATATATATATATATATATATATATATACCTACTCGTAGATCCTCTAAATATCTAGAGGTCTTTATATTAAAACACTTATCATAGTAAGAATATCAACACGCGGTATACAGTTACGACGTTTTTGTTTTTAATTTATCAAATAGTCTAGGCATTTACTGTTTAAAATGTACTTTGATTTGTCTGTTAGTTATAATGAGTGCCTATATAAATAAATAAATTAGTTTGTACTAATATTACTTGTACTGCAAAGGAGAATTTTATTGCTTTTTTCTATTTTAATCAAACGTCAAGCTTTTCGAATTTTAACATAAATGAAAACACAAACTCGCAAACATATTTTTTCAGTCATATAGATTACTCAATAACTCATTTCAAGGGACGTCATTAGTAAGATCAATTGATATGCCATTATTACTACTACACTGAAATTCGTACCACAAATAATCCAAGAATAATTTTATTTCGTCAAAAATTTAATACATAAAACAATGCAACTTTCAATTTTACTAAGTCATAATGATTTCGTTATAAAGGCTTACATGTTATTTTATAATACCTATTCAAAATGTGTATTCAACCTAAATTAATTTGAGAAAAAAAAAATTTTATACATGTTTAAAATATGTACAGAAAATAATTAAGCTTATTTCAAAATTGATATCAATCCTTAGCTGAAGGTCAATATCGAATTTATTGATTCAATTTAATATCATAATTTATGTAACTGCATTAAACTTCTATAAATCAACTAACCCACTCGACATAACCACATAGTATTTAATAATGGACCTTTAAATAAGGAAACGTTAACATTAAACTGTTTTTATGAATAAAACTGACTAAATAAAATATAACAATAAATTAAATACGTAATTTTAATTCATAGATATCAACATCTAGTATGCCGTTTATAATATTTATAAATAATCGTATTATTCTCATTTCAATTTCAATCGATTAATTATAATTCAATTTATTACTCATTCTGTGTCACAACTACTTTATAAGTGAAATTTATCATATTAATCCCATTATATATCTATTATTATCATTATTGGCGCTTGTCGTCGATTCTTATTAAATAAATATTAATTCTTAGCCTGTTAAAATTATTACAAAAAACAAACATAATATTATCTCCATCGAAGATCAGGTGCAGTCATAAGATCTCGTTTTAACTAGTAAAGTGTCATTGATTTAAATTATATTTGATCATTTTTGCATCTACAACGCTACATTGGAAAATATTATTAATGAGAAACGCTTTAAAAATCTTTGCCCCAAATTACTCTGTGATTCTTTAAGCAGTAATCTGTGATTTTTTTAAACATTTTTCATTAAGAATAAAGTGTCAATATTTATTACAACCACAACCTACACAGTAATGTACATTTTGTCATCTGTACCTCAATCTAATGTGAGAAATAACATGTCAATATCAACATATATCACAATCTATTCACTTGTTCATACTTATCCGATATAGTTTATTATCATAACTCATAACAAAAAACACTGAAACCAAAGCAATTTTAATTATTTTTACATTTTCTTCTTTTCAGACTCTTTTGATCGCACGAATAAAGCGAGAAACTTCTGTAGTAGTTCCGTAAATATCATTGTACCTATGAATACTAAAAGAGTCCCAATCCAATGACCTAATGTAAAAGGATTTTTGAAGTAAACTATTGAAAACAAAAGTGAAACGAACTTTCTCAAAGTCACAGTTAGAGTGACAGTCAAAGACGTACATTCTGTTGTCAAAACGTAAACAGCACTAATACATAAACCCTGTGTTGCTACATATAAAATAAGGTATAGCACTTGCCTAGGCACAATCAGGCCTAGAAATTCCACAGTCGGCGTTTCTGTCGCCAATTTTATGTGCTCATATACGTTAGTTGACATCGGCAACCAACATATTAATGGTAACAAATGAGTATAATACAAAGCCTCCCAAGGGTGCTTTCCATATTTGGAGTATAAAGATTCTTGAAAAATGCCCATTCTCGCTGATATGAATAGCGCAAAAGTTAAAATGGCTATACCTAAGCACCACCACAGCCAATCGATGAATTTCAGTCGTTCTTCTTCTGTCGCATCCTCGTGAGTCTCTCTTGGAGCTTTGACTTCAGAACTGGACTGTATAGTGCAAATAATTATACCAGCTGAAATCATGAGAACGGCTAAATATTTCAACGGTGGGTATTTTTTCTTGAGAATCCACACCCCCATAGCCATATTGGCCATCAAGGAGCCAGCACGAAATATCATGTGTAAAGGCATGGATATGTTAAAATTAAATGCGTAGTTGTTGGCTAAACTGCTGCTCCAGAAAAATGCTACTAGTATAAGATACTGTTCGAAAGGTATATTCATTGGTGCTGTTCCAAACTTGCCGACAGTGCAGAAGCACACGCAAGCGATGAAGACGAACTGGAGGAACGTGGCTAAGTTGCCAGCACCGGGGTCTTCTTTTACTACCATCTCAAGGAACACCACGTTCGAGCAACATCCCACGAAGACCATGGTGATGGCCAGCGCCGCTTTGATATTCATTTTGAAACTGAAATAAAAAAATATATTTTTATTGATTTCATTTTCGACACCACACATCAATATAGGGTATGTTGATGTGTGGTGTCGTTCACTTATTATTTATTATACTTATTTATTCACGTACGCTACTCATGAAATAAAATTATTTTTAAACGGTTTTATCGTGTGAATTTCTTTTTTTATTTTTATTTTCAGATAGTTCGTGTCTTTTACATGTAGGTGTTTACAAGACTAAAGATATAGTTTTTTTTTTAATTATGCATAGCTACCTTCCAAAATTAAATGAAAAATACACGCGATAAAACGGTTTAAATTTAGTTTAATGATATACCCTATTTTTATACATAAGTTTTTTTATTAATTATAAGTTGTTACTTTCTTTCCGAGTATGTAATGTAAGGTAACGTCTTATCTGCTTATGTTAAAAGTTTAAATAAAATTACTAAAAAGTATAATATAACAATTAATTGTAATTGTACCTTTTACTAATTTATAAAACCCAGTTTTTTTTCTCATTTTATTATTAAATCATTAAATTAAAACACAAAATCTACAATAATAAGTTACATCTGCATCTCATTAATTGAAAAATATATAAAAAGTTATTATCAATAGCAAAATGGTTATCTTCTCCATATTCTATGCAGGAAGACAAAATTTGTATCTATGACAACCAATTACAAAAAAAAACAATAACGTAGGCTCACACATGCGCAGAAACGTCAACGGGAGGTTATGTATAACGTCTGATAAAAAAATATATGAGTAATATACTTACTTTTGTTATTTACACTCTTCTTAAGTATAAGATAACTTGTATATTTGCACTGTTTACTTCAAGAAACACATTTTTTTTTATACACGCACGATACGCTAGTATGCCAGCGAGTTAATAGATTTACGCTGCGCGGTGTGGTTATCAAGCGATGACCCTGGCCTCAACTGTGGCACGCATGCGCGGCGCGACAAGACGTGCCGGCCGGTAAAACAGCACTGTCATTATAACTCGTGTGCGTAAACATAGATGGCATTACTGGCTTTGATATGGTTCCTGATATTTTGATATGGCCTTGGTAAATAAATTTAATTATGATTATTGACAAATTAATATTTAGGTAAGTACATAACAGATAACACTTGTAGAAAAAAAAATTGTTATAAAGTTTCCGACAGTCGAAGATCGAGTATCGAAGAAAAACAATTTTGACAATGATGTGAATTGATTGTAGGTATAAAAATTATTCACAAATGAAAGTTTACATAAAGCCTGAGGGTCTAAAATAGTAACATTGTATTTTTCAAAGCTCAAAATGACAAGTTATATCATGAAACATTCAATTTCAATATTATGAAACATTAATTTTAACGGGTTTGGACGGGAATGCGTATTATGTTGCTAATGGTACAAATTAGATGAAGATGAATGACAATAACGTCAAATTGGATAAATATTTAAAATCGGATCATTATATTCGGGGCCTATTCGATGCAAACAAACAAATATTTTCCATTAATACTAGTACAGAAAGCGCCAAAGCGCCAAAAAATTTTCACAGGAGGCATTCACACAGGTAAGTGCATGCGCGTGTTTGCGTTGTTACTAAAATTGATAGTTATGAATAAAGATTATACATTCGTTCAAATTCATATCAACTTTTTAATAATTCAGCATATCAACAAACGTGATAACATATTAAATAACAATATTGTTATCACAAAATTATGAGATTGTCTCGGAGTTGATTGATGAAATATAAATTGAAGCATGCGCTATTGCCAGATATAAAAACTTGGAGTAAGATATATCACTATTTTATGATTTCTTTACTTTTTCTTCGAAAATTTATGAAAATATATATTTGATAAAATAAAATATGTAGGATTTCACTTTTCATTGTAATACTGAAAATAATATATTTAATCTCTAACCGTAAAATACTGATTAGAAGCGTCACTATTTAATATCATAAACAACATCGACAGCGAATAAGAATTATCACTTCTGTGATATTCGGTGTCCTGGTTTATCGGGGTTATTAAATAAATAAAACAGTCTCAGTTTTAGCCAAGAAGCGCACGTGCGTCCGCCACGGTCGGGAACACAGACTAACATCTCCCACCCGCCGCGCGTACGCTCACGCGCCGCTTACACTTTATTGATACATCACAATGCGGTTTTTTTCATAAATTGGGTGATTCAAAAGATTTTTATCGACGCTTAAGAACCAAGACCAATCTACAAAAAGTCAATTTACAGGAGACGAAAAAAACGTTTCATATTTTTTCCTCGCCAATTTACTTTTGTAACTGATCATTTAATGGATAGGCTTGGGAAATAAGGTGTTTACGTGTATTTCAAGAAATCTTCATAAGTTTCAAAATTACTGTAGATAGCTGGTATTCATTAAAATATTGGCGTATGTTTATCAGCTTTATATAGTTACAGTATTTTTCAATAACAAAAATTATATTAATATTTATTTTCTAATGACAATTAATATTTCAATAATAAATAAATACGCAGACTATATACAAATTATTTAATAATGCTTTAGAATAAAAATACTTATTATCTAGATATTACGGTTAGAGAAATTAACGTATATAACATAAGTAAATATAGGTAATTAGGGCAAACAAGTATATGCCATGTTATGAAATCAACCTAACATTATCTACGATACTAATTTTCAACTCATCTCTTATTATACTCTAAACCCAACATGGTACGCGATAAAAATAGATTTATTGCGCCTTTATTACCATAACAATAAGTTTTGTGGTCCTAAGCCCCGAGAAATGGGTTCCGATTTAAGTTAACAAGGGTCCTACGACCTCCCGTGATACGACAAACGATTATCTACTCAAATACGTAAGGCGGAAGGTTCGGATTAAAAATAAGGGAGTCTACAGTTGTCCATTTCTTCAAGTTGGGATAGGAACGTGTACCTACTTACTTTTTAAATTGATCGGCTAGTTTGTGTATGAAAACGCTTTTAGAGAACTTCGATTTGTTATAATGTTTTAGTTAGATTTTCTTAAATATACCATACTATATTACTTTTGTATTCCTTGGCACCTGGTAAATGATTGAAGGTATGTAGGATTCTTCGCAGTACGGATCTATACAATGGACAAGTCATCTTAATAGGTCAAAAGACGGAGATATACAAATATACAAAAAAAAATTAATAACCTCCCGCCCGTTGTAATTAAAGGCTCCCCGATAGCAATGAAAATTCTATTAAGACAAGGTATTTTTGTTTTATTTCAATGATTGTTTTTATACTTTTTTAAGTGATTTTTTGGGACGAAGATTTTAAAAATTTTATCTTTATTTCATACTTTTAAAATTTTTGTACTAATAATTTAAAAAGTAGCTTCGCTTTTTGCGTCGGCGATAAAAATACTAGAATACGTTCACTTATAGTTCCTCCAGAACCGTTAACACAAAAATAAAATTCATATGCATTCAGTGCATCCAATTTTTAATGGCAGCATAATTACAAAGTATGACATAACACTACAAAAAATATTAGTAGTTCTATGGAGGTAATGCGTGCGTGCGTGCCTCTATAATCGATAATTATAATGGGAATAGATAAGAGTATCTTATTCAACTGCAAGAAAACACTGTCACGTCAAATGTTCAGTCGCAGCTAGGATCCAGCTAGGGTTTGGGGCGTCTTTATCGTGATCAAATATTCAATTTTCTTTCTAGTTTCTTTGCACCATCTCATCATTCTCCTCGTCTGAATACGTTCGCTATGCAATAAGGTGAGCTTTGGTTCAAAACATATATTCGTCATCCCCCGTGAAGCGAAAACTTGAAATATTTTTTCGAATAATATTTTTCTTTGGTCATTGTATATTTCAATTTCAGCGCTGAAATATACTCACTATAGGTAGAAAAACTAATTCAAACAATTTCAGCGCGTTTATATACCTATTTATTCATGAAATTTCGGACCATTTTATTATAAATTGTTATTATTACCACTTTTCTAACTTCTTATCATCAATGTTCTTATATATAGTAGAAAACAGTCGCTTCCCACGGTTTGAATGCTGAAATCTTTAAACAACACAATGAATACAATATACCTCCAAAATATTTTTATAATTTATACTATTTATTAATGTTTTTTTTATTTCAGTTTTCCATTTTTTTTTTATTTATTCAAATTAATCATTTTCATTAAGAATAAACTGACTGACTATTATTTAATTGATTAAATTAGTCTGACCAATATTTTTGTTGTACACTCTAAAACAAACTAAACTACCTACAAAGAACTTATTGTTGATATCTAATAAATAGAAGAATAATTATATACTTTATTGCACATAACAGAAAACAAGTAACAGAGAATCACACTTAACAAAAAAAGCTACACAAAAGGCGGTCTTATATTGCTGAGCAACAATCTCTTCCAGGCAACTTATGGAGGACTTACAAACGCTTTAGTCTTTTTGTTTAATGAATTAAAAACGCAGACCGACATGACTAAATATAGATTTAGTATATTTTGTGCCAACAGAATTATATCTTTGTTAATATTTGTTGAATACTTACGTTTAATGAACCAGTTGCTGCTTGCCAATTGGCTTTGAGCAAGGAAACTTTGAAGAACAATGCCACAAAGCCTTAATTCTTAAAGAAAATGTGCATGTTTAATTAACCTCAATGAAACTTGTATTTTTACACCAAAAAAAACTAACTATCGAATGGTTTTGTAGAAAAAAGTTACATCCCAATAAGCTATGATAGCCAATCCCATAACCATTCTGAGTATTTTGTGACAGTCTAAAGGAGAATTAAAAAATTTCCTCTATAGAAAAAAATCACAAATTTTGTTACCTCTAAAATTCGCCATTGTTCCATGTTATACTTTTTACTACAAAGTGTCTGGAACATTTATCAATTCTACTTAAAAAAAAGTATAATAACACTTTGTAAGTGTTACTTTTTGATTTGTACTCGCCTTCTTAAACAAGTAATATTTAAATAACACAAACAATAACTTATCTATATTTGTTATAATCAACCGAACCAACTTCGTGCCGCGTTTAAACAAAATTTGGTTTGTATTTTTTTTCGTTTTGATCGTCGAGGCGTCGAGTGCAGTTACAACCTTATTTGACAAAAAGACGCGCTGCATGGCCTATGAATTGCAACTGTTTTTTTTTTATTGAAAATTATAATCAGTTTGTATAGCAAAAGAAAGCTAGTTTTACCATTTTCTCTCCATGAAAACTACTAAACCGACCAATCTTGCATTTTCTTTTCAAGGAACTACATTTCGATGCACTACAGAGACTTTTCCATTTGCCGCCCAAATTTTGTTAAGCAAATGACATATGAATTCATTGCATATATTCAGCCAACTACTACAGATTCCCAAAGAGTTTCAAATTTGGAATAGACCTTCCTCAGATTCATTTTCTTACTGGTCAATTACGGGCCTATTCTAAAAGCTTTCAATGTGACTTCCTAACATTAAATTTACCTATGCGAATATGTACTTTACATTGTCGAGTTTTATGGTTTTAATTTCTCAATATGCACTCATTAGACACTTAAAATTGTCAAACGAAATAAGATTCTCTAGACAACGATATAAAACAATGTTCTCAATGTATTCTCAACTATATCGGAAAGTTCCTGATTGGTATTCAAAAAAGGTTCTTATGCATCAAAGCTTAGGTTTCCTTTCGGTCGATTTAAAAAGGACAGACAATTTACATTTATCTAGCTACACCGCCAGTCCGCCACCCCTCTCCGAGTGCAGGTCACGTTTTGCATAGAATACGAATATCTCCTTTTAATAAATTCTTTATATTTCTAAGTGTTGTTTCTTTTAGTGCGATTGTGCTTTTTTGTTTTAGCAAATGAATAAAAGACTAAGGCATAGCTTAAGTGTATATACATTCTTCTACATCTCTTTCTTTTATTTTCTGATTCTAAGAATTTTAAAATTGTTGAATTATTTTATAAAAAATTTTCGTCACCGCAGCAATAGATTTTTTGGAAACAAATTATTTTGTTCCTCTTCACAACTTATACTATATTAACATGTGTTCCTCATGTATGTACCTAACCACCATATAGTTTAAAATGTTATACCTTCATATACCTATAAAA